ACCTTAAGTTTGGTTAATACTTTTAGACATTCTCAAGAAATTTATTAGAAACTGCTGTTCAAGTTTCATTTAATTAATATTCAAATTTCCAATTAGTATTGACAGATTGGTAATTAATTGAAACTTTTATTTATAAACGTGCGTACAGAACTTACATGTGAAATTATCAGAATCAACAGAGTCACAGTAACAGTCTTCTTAAGAGTTCTACCAAACTTAATTACCGTAAAACATAATATAACTTGACTGAGCGACAATTAATACTTAAATCGCCTACTAAATGTGATGTTGTTTTAACCTATTTTTTTAATTACAAAACTGTGGAATCAGAGCTCAGGCTTTTTTCCTACAATGGTGCTAATTGAAAGCGTTTCTAAGACCAATTTTTCGCATCATCAGCGATTAAGCTTCCACTGTTTCCTATTTACACAATCCCGATACTAATTTTCTTGCAGTATCACAATAACTGATTTTTCTGTGTCATTGTACACTTATAATGGTTACGATTACACTTAATGGCTTTTTGGACATTCTTAGACCCTTTTAATCTCCTTCATTATCGTGAAAGCAATCTCTATTTTGCTCCATTACCATCGATTGGTCCGTATTAAGATTAGGATTTGGGTCTACAAAGGACTATAAACCTTTGTAAATGTTTATTTTTAGCTATACAAAGTGTAATTAAGAAGGTGATTGATGAAAAAGTACTTCAAATAGCATTTCAAACTTTGCTATAGTTGAACAGCCGTTTCTAATAAATTTCTTGAGAATGTCTAAAAGTATTAGCCAAACTTAAGGTGTAAAAACCAATAAAGCGTATAAAGTATCTATTTATAAACTTTTGTCATTTTGCTATAAAAAGCCAAGTCATTTTTTTTTATTAAACATACTAGACGGAACAGTCTTATACATTATTAAAAAAGACTGAATCTACTGAGTCTATATTGACTATGCAAATTATAAAAAATCAATAACCACATTACAAATAAAAAAAGTTTGTTTTTTCATCAGCAGATTTAAGAAGGTCATCGCATATTTTTACCACGACGTAGTCAGTGTCAATGTTTCTGAGGTTAATACTCCACGATAAAATCTTATCTGGTTACCACCAGCGGGTAAACATGTGAACATGAAATGCGAATGAATTTTATCGTGTCTAATTATCGCCAGCGGAGTTTATTACCGTTATTTCTAATATACTATCAAACTATACACATTGTAACACAATCAGGTGACTCAATACAGAGTGTGGAAATACTTTTTAAACGGGATCATACAGAGCAGTATGTAAATTAATATAACATAATTCTCTTTTAATATTTCTCTATGAAATAAATAACGTACTTTATCTTTCTAAACCAGCCTCGGGAGTAGTTTAGAGGATATTGTACCAACTTATTTATGTGAAAATTTATGCTGTGTAAAATATTACTATGTTTTGGTGTACTGTGAGAATATCCTTATCAATTTTAAAGTCTAACATCTATAGTTAGAACTCTAATGTGACTAAGGGTCATATTTTTTAGGCTTTAAAAAGAAAATAAAGTAATGACAACACAAGATGTACATAAACCGCAAGTGGAATCTTAACCCTGATCTTGACTGTGAATATAGAAAGTATATAGAAAGATATATAGAAAGTAATTTTTTATTAGTTTGGAAAGATTTCACATCTACCTACTAAACTGAGTATGAATCAATTTAGCTTTGTTTACTTTTTTATCAAAAACGTTGCCAGTACACTTCTTTTATTGTAAATGACCATCGATTTGGTAAAATTGAGAACATCAGGCAGTTAGAGAGATGTTCTTAACCGTAAAATCTCGAATGGTGACATTTATTTTATATTTAATGAAACAGTCGCCAAAATAGGTCTCTTCTATCTGAAAATAAATCATGTCTATTGTGAATGAAAGTAAAATCATTCATCATTTTTTTTTATCAGACTAATGCATTCGTTTTATTTATTAAATATTGAATGGCCATTTTGTTTTACGGATATGGCATTATAGTAGAAAGTCGTGTTACCTATGCACGCAGTTTTTAAATAGACATATCCTATGAAATATCATAATAATTACTTTTATATAAATGGGTTGAAATACCCTTATTGCTATAGTAGTGAAAAAAAAAAAGAAACTTGATATTTGGCGGCTCCTTCTAGCAATAAAGTCCGACTTGTAAAAATATCTGAAAAGATTTACTTACAGAAATAAATATCATTTATCATTTATCATTTGGTGTCAATGTAAACTATTAGGCATATACAAAGGAAAAAAATCTAAAAATCAAATCATATATAATTAGCATCTACAAAGTGATAATAAATTTGAGTATGAAAGTAGTTTTTTTAGCATTTTAATCCCGTGGATAGGTAGTTGAACTTTCAAAGTACTATTCACCAATTACTAATTCTGTATTATATTCCTAAAAAAATAAAATAGGGAGTGATAATGTAATATTCGCAACGTGCATGAAAACAGTAGTAGCGCCAAGAGTTAGGTACGTTATCAACATTGAGTGCGGGTGCACCCTGCTCGCTCTATCTATATGAATGGTTAGTTTTTTTTCACTAAACTGTTTTGAACTTATAAGAATAAGTGTTTTAATTTTTTAATTTTACATTCACAAATAGATACATGCTGTACATGCACCCTATCATCCTTCTGTATGATTAAAACGACCAAAATTTAACCGTGTGTATAATTTTGTTATATTCCTCCTAGATCCTCAACATTAAGCACAAAAAAATTACGATTATGCAGTGGTGTGATCATAACTCAATGTCATCAAACATTAAAAAAATCAGGTCATATCTTTCACAAAAAACAGAAAAGCACTGAACTACAACTACAATATTGAGGGCATTGGCTTAGAAAGAGTTGGGATAATTCGTGATTTACGGGCAATATTCGACCCAATTATGTCCTTAGATCCTGCTATGATCACATATGCAGTAAAGCAAATTGTATGTTGACCTTTGTGCTTCGTAATGCAAAAGATTTCATCAATAAATCAGTAAAGAAGTCATTAATAAATCTATATGACGCCCTAGGCTCTGGACTGTGACTAGCCAAGTCAGATTTTGAAATTAAATTACATCCCAAGTGAAATAATTGCATTTTGTAAATAATTGTCTATCAAAATTTAATAATTTATTTTACCTATTAAGTAGAAAATACTGTGGTAGCACCAAGAAACAAAAATTGTTATTTCAATTTGTTTTAGAATATACATAGTATGTTCTTGTAAAGCAGCACAGTGATGATCCCCACGTGATTTGAAGACGCAACCTTCTGATCTGGAGTAAGACAGAACAACAAATTACATTTCTTATTTTAGGAACTACAACAGTTTTTTTATCAATCAAGCAAGTCCTTAATTTTTTTATTGTGAAAATAAGCATTTTGAACTATTATACATATCGGCGCAAATAAAAGACTACTTAACTCCGTCATATATATTGTTTGGATTTTTCAAAATGTTTATCAATGAAGACTGCAAAAAAAGTTTCTTATATTATTGTTTGCTATTTTGTTTAAATATTTTGATAATATTACTAGATACTTCATCATCATCATCAGCCTATCGCCATCCACAGCTGAACGAAGACTCTCCGAAAGAGCGCCAACTATCCCGGTCTTGGGCAGTCCACATCCATCCACTGCCAGCCACTTTCTGCAAGTCATAGGTCCATCGTGCTACATGTGTTGTGTTCATACTTAAGTAATTTGTAAAAATCAAATTTATATTTTGCGTTAGTATTCGTTAATAGTACAACCCTTATACCTTCTGTGGATGTCGTAAGAGCCCGCTAAAGGAGCAAACTACGTAAGCCAAACGCGCTGCAAAGAGAAGGAAAACTTGAAGCAAAATCTATACCAACCCATCTGGCCATCGTGGCACATCATCATCATCAACAGCCTGTACTAGTCCACTGCTGGACATAGACTTAGAGAGGAGGTTTTGGCCTACTATACCACGCTGGCCAGACGGGTTGGTATAGGGTTAGTTTCAAGTTTTCCTTCTCTTTCCAGTGCGTGCCAGCGTGGCACAGTAGGCCAAACCCTATATTTTTAAAGTGAGGCCCATGTTCAGTAGTAGAATATTAAAGGCTGTTTACCGGCTTCTTTGAGCTATTGAAAGCCTTACGTTAGCTTCGTCATCCTTACCGTCTGTTTCCGAAAATGATAACAGCAGAATTGCATCAGGTAGGCGGTCGGCCGTACAATAATCTAACCAAAATCCTATGCAAAATAACACACTGACGTTAAACGCAAAGATATGACTATGGGTTACTAAACACACCATTTAACAACATTCGGAAATCGAGTTTCGAGAGAGAAGGTAAACGGTTAGAATATTATTTGTGTACTTTGTTCATTAGAGAAAAGTCTACAAGCAGATCAGCAAAAAAAATATAGGCTCTTCTCGCCTTCAGAAAAATTGTATTCACGTTTCAAACAGGTTAAAAACAGGGCTGGTAAAGTATACTATAATGTACTAGTTGTGTGTTTATTTGTTTTCTTCCTACATCCTGGCTCGCCCACACACACGCACGCGTCCTCATACTTTGCCCGCCTCTTCACTGAGAAGCTCTCGACTCTTCTATAGTTTCTGCGGGTCATACATATGTGCTCGAGACAGGTATGGAACCTTCATACACTACACATAGTAAAAAGTTTTGTTATGTGATGTGTTTTAAAATGTTTCACTACATAACTATATTCAAAAATCTCTCTAAAGAAATCAAACTACATTTGGATATGTTATAATAGTTTATTATCTATAAAGCATTACATTCGTTTTATACAAAATACACTTTCAAATTTTATATTTAAATATTACGTACTCAAAAAAATTATGTCTATAAACGTACTTCAAGAAGACATAATAATATCAGGCATATAATTATTTATGATATATAATATGCTTATATCAACATGCATACAAAAATATTGGCACACTGTCGTAAGCGATAATATTATCGAAGTATATTTTTAATCATCCGCCAACCAGATATCGGAAGTACAGTCTCCGCCGGGATATCTATAAAAAGTAAATATTGTCATGTAAGTATATTTGGGGAAGCAATAACCCTAAAACATTTTTATAACGTACATAAGTGGAATGTATTCATGTGAATATAGACTGTACTGAATACTTTCGAAATTTCTCAGAAATACGGTTTACTTTTACTACGGTTACTTTTAATGTAACTGAATTTTGGACGCACTTGACACACAGATGTTCGATGCTCCTAATAGTAACGAGGGTTAGATTTTAGTACTTTAACAAAATGAACGTATGAAAATGGGTTGTAGCATTAAAGTCAAGTTCCGTTAAAATGCTGCTATTAATTGCTAAACAACAACAAACAATCTCACATACCCTGTTTAGCTTTTAAAGTTCGTACCTCATTTCATGTGGCAGCACCGGGCCATCCGGTTCCTGACCGAAGTCTATGAGGAAGTCCGGATCCAACTTCATGCCTCCATTCACAGTGTCCACGTCGATCTTCACTATCCACCCACCCTACAATATGAAATGTTTTTCAATTTACTCGACAAAATTACTGTTTGAATATATCAAGACATCGACTCGGTGCTGACTCCATTACGTTAACGCTTAATATTGCATTTCTACATGTTTTTGTACTTCATTGTTTTTAACTTGTACTAATGGCTCATATTAGTACAAGTTAAAAATGGTCAGGATTGCTTACATAGGGTTAAGGATTGGAGTTAAAAATCATGTCATAAATCGTTAAAGCTAAATCATCGTCAACTTCACAGTGCTTCAGCGATTTTTATTTTGTTACTCAGTATCCCATTCAGGAAGTTTATAGGTTAATTAACACCGCTATAAAAAGTCAGTATGATAAATTTTCGGTGCTATATTCTAGGCCGACACAGAGACCTATTTAATTACGAAATTTTGGTCTCCATAGATTTCTTGTTAGTGCCACTTCGAAAATATTACAGAGAAGATTACTTCTAGTATCGACTATTAAAACCATTAATTGGTCTATTTAATTTAATTTGTTCTTAATCCTCTTAGCATATTAATTTTGCATACCTACGTATTTTATATTTTATGCCTAAAAACCATTGTTAAGTATAATATTATAATCTAAAAGATACCAGCTAGATGATTTAAATGTCTAACCGACCAAATAACCTAAGCTCAACTTACATAAAATTAAATAAAAAATCTTAAAGCAAAGTTTCCATAAACAAAAATAACTCCTTAAATCATATTGCATTCATACATAAATTGTCCGACTTGTAAAAATATCTGAAAAGATTTACTTACAGAAATAAATATCATTTATCATTTATTTATCATAAGCCAACGAATAATCAAGTGTCAAGAGATATCAGCAAATGTGCATGTATGATTAATAGAATCAAAAAAAGGAATTGCATGATTGCTAATGTATTTACCAGAGTTTAGAAAACTCTGTGAAACAAATTATAGATCTAACCTCGAGGAATTTACTAGAAATAGCTGAATACTTTCACTATCTACTTCCTAGCTTCATTATTAGATTAGATCTAAAATCCGAAATATTAGTATTGTCATCCCAACTCCATATATAAACATATTATTAATTCGCTATCACCAACAGCCTTTAGTAGTCTACTGGATGGACATAGGCCTCTCCTCAGAAAGGAGATTTTGGCCTACTATACCATGTTAGCCAGAAGGTTGGTGGCCAGCGGTTGATTCGCTATGATACTTAGAATTTAAATAACTTAAAATATATTTTCTAGATGCGTTTTTATAGTTAGAAGAGAAATAGTTTCAGCTATTAAAAATGTGTTAAAATGTAATCTTTAATATGTTCTATCAGATGTAAGCATCATTATAAATGCTGTCTGTAGATATAAAAGAATATATAAAAATTTAAGTTTAAGTCTTTTTACACAATAGTACGTCAAATTCATGACTCAATAATTTATGATTTGAGTCATGTCTCTACGTTGACGTGATGGAAATGTATAGCGAGACGTAAATATATCATATAAGTTAAATTATGATTTTATTAATTAAATATTAAATATTGTAACTGTTTTAATAATATTATCTATAAAATAAAAACAAAATTAAAAACTTTTATTTAACAATATAATATCCGAATATCTCAACTGAAATTTTAGATTTATGGGAAATTTTTAACATGTATCAGGCAATATTAACGTAAAAAATAAGTTGCGGTATGACTTGCTTTAAAATTAAAATGCCTGTCAGTTATTTGTATGAAAAACTATGCTTCATAGTTCATGAATTACTCAATATCCCCCAGATGACGTACATTTCAAAATGTACCATAGAAAAACAATAACTTCATTCAATATTATATAAACAGTGAAGGTATAAATAAGATAAGGGTCGAAGGTTTTGATATAAGAGATAAAGGTTGTTTATTGCGGTCTGGGTTAAGCGAAAGTGGACGTAACCCAATAAAATACTTTGTCTACAGCCTTCACATACCTGGCTGTGTGATATTTAATAAACTCTCACGCATTTTTGAGCATCAGTATTAAAGATTTTGGTATTCGGATTTTGGTTAATATAACCAATGAATATACTAAATATAATGTAATAACAAAAACATATCTTTGAAATGGCAATTTTAAATAAGGGAACGATATGTTGACCTAGACCTCAGTAACAAGAAAAGACAAGTCTGACATAGAAGTAAAGGTTAGAGACTTCAATTATTTGTCGTAAAAACGAAATATTCTATTTATGGTAAATAACATTATCAAAGATTATTAATATTAAAAATATGTGTTTTATATTGTTATCTGATTTTTTTTGAGAAATTCTATAATTTTATTGTTGTATTAAAATTTGAAGAGCGCGAAGCATCATAACAATTATAGTTTAAAAAACACGCTTAGCCAGCTGAACTACAAAGTATTAAATAATTTTCTATAAGCTCAAAAAGAAAAATTATTTTATCGTAAAAAAGCGTGGGCTGCAAAATCTCAAGTGTTGTAAAAATATTTTCCTCTCAGATATTGGTAAAAGTAAAGAATATCGGTAAAAGTAAAGCATATCGGTAAAAGTAAAGTTATCATACCATAAAATACCTTGAAACGCTGCTCGTTTGCCCGCTCTTTAAAAAAAAGCAACCTCACGATTTTTTACGACATACACAGCTAATAAAAGCGTGTTAAATTAAAAAACAAAGTAGAGATATTTACCTGTGCTAAATGTACATTAGGTATATTATCAGTAATCATAAAAGTTTTACCTCTTTAACCATCTTTGGATAGAATTGTTTGTCCCATGGAGAGAAAAGAGATGACGATACGTAGAGACGTTTTCCGTCTAAAGAAAGTTGCAACATCTGAGATGCTCCTTGAAGAGTCTTGCCTTTCACCGTTACAGGTTTAGGGCTTTCCTGTCCACAATCATAAGCACTAATAAATAAAGTATGAAGGTAAAATTTAATATTCAGCGATATTTTTCTTCAAACTTAATATTATAAGTAAAATTAACATTTCGAATATATGATATAGTATCCGCACTCTTAGATACTATTGGTGAAAATTAGAAACTTAAAAGAGACCCTAATGTTCCTCTCCTTATTTTCAACAAAACCTTATTATATTTATGGCAAGATACACAGAGTACAGCATAGTTATGATTTCATAACAAATGAAAAGCATCTAATTATATTGGAAAAACAGAAGACAGTGAAATAAAGAAATGGTAAAATACGAGTAAACTAAAGTAATTTAGCAAACATCAAACGGTAAAAAGTCCAAATGGATAGAATGACACAGCTAAACTGTAATTGTGTAACGTCATGAAACGTTAATTCTCACTATTACGGTTCATATTGGAAAAGGGGCATTTCTCACCTGTAATTCCTTGTCCTCTACGACTTTAATATTGGGGTCTGAGGCGATTACACCACCCAGTTGGACGCGTTCAATCAGCTTTGGATGTTCGGGATCACTAATATCGTATTGTCTGACTTCTCCAAACATCCAACAGGAAACATATAGATACTTGTCGTCCAAAGAAATGAGTATATCGCTCATTAAGCCTACAACCAAAATGTTAAAGACTTGCCATATTAGTTTTACTAGAAATGAACAATAAACTTTTCGTCAATTAGAATTCGTAAACAAAACTAACTTAATTAATGTTATTGTTTGATCAACTGAAAAATAAAATAAAAATTACCGTTGATCTCGGACACAACGCCATCTTTAGAAATTTTTTTTGCTGGGATGTCGATGACTTTATCAGCTTTCCACCTTCCGTCTGATGTTTTGTAAAATCTGAATAAAGTAAATTCAATGCTCTTAGTTCGTATTTATTTTAGCCTACCAGGAATTATTTTCTTATCAATTCTTCCTCTTGTTATTTTGTTTAAAGGAAAAGAAATATCAGTTACTGTTATATTTAAATGAAAACATTGCAGTATTCGGTTTTGTAAAAAACAATACAAAGCCTAAACAAATCAAAAACTATATAGCTTGTGCTCAAAGTTTAACAATGTTGTCGTAACTAAAATCCTTACAAATCTCATACCTGTAAACGTTGGTGTTCACCGCGCACCCGACAAATCCCTGCTCGGATTTGGGATCATGGAGAAATCTGATCTCTAGAGGTGCACAGCCTTCGGGGCCTAAATCTATGACTTGCTGTAACTCGTGTGTGGACCACTTATAAATATTCAACGATGAGCCGTAGAGAGATTTGTCATGTATGTCTTCTGCGTGAAATCCACTGTAGATGAAATAAATTACTGAATTAAAGTTCAGTGTCGAGATCACATCTCATAAAGTGTTTATATGTGGTACTTTCAAAGGATAATTTAATAATCTTGTGTTTAAAATTCAAATATTCTAAAAATATATATAATAATAATTAAACTTATTGGAGAATAAGTTAAAAAAAAACAGTTTTTTTATTACCATTTCAACATATATATAGTTGTAGCCTTAGCAAGAAATATAAGGAATATTTAAGAGTAATTTAAGAAAGAAAATTAAAAATCAAATACAAAGTTAACAAACAAGAAATGTAATATAAGCTGGACAGCGAATACACTTGTGTTATCTTTGGAATCGGTTAAGTTTTATTAAAATGTAGAGGCCAAGTTGTTTTCCTAAGAAAGTAGCGTACAATTTAGACCTTCCAAATTGTGTCCATTGAGTGATATTATATTAGAAATAATATATTTGTCAACAAAATACTTACGTCTTAAATCTTTTAGGTGCGCCCCACTCTGTAGCAAACATAACATCATAGTATGGTTGGTACCAAAAATCGTAACCGAAATTCGCGGTGTTTTTGCCCTTTGTCCAAGTTCCTAAAACAAATAAAATCAATTTTATTCACGTTTTCTTGTTAATGACAATTTTTGAGAAATTGATTTCTACAATTCACCTGTCACTTTCAAAGTTTGCGAATCGATGAGCACAAAATCCCCTTTGCCGTTTTCATCTTTATCACCCATCGTCGAAATCATGATTTCACCGGTTGCCAGGCAGTGCGTCGTGTGCGGGAAACTGCAGTTGAATGACCTCATCTCGGAGCCGTCGATTACCTGGTAATGAGATTTTCGCTGTGAACCCTCTACACAAGGGAGTTGAGAGAATGAGGTCTTTAGCAGTTTACCCGATAGTAAGGGATTTACATTAAGTTTGGCTTTTAGGGAACACTTTTAGGTGAAACACCTTTTGCATTTTATGAGAGCCTAAGCTTTTTAGCTCTAACGTAAAAAGCAAATGATATAGATCAGTTTCGTTAAAGCTGTAAACAAACAATCATCTGAGAACACTAATAATATTCATAAAATAAATAAGAAATTTTAGGCAAAATGTTTTATCAAGTTTGTGTGAAAAGGACAACACGGATCTAACAACCAATATAATAGTTCGCGAACTGTTTGTCGCGATTTGGAATGTTATAACTTCAACTACAGATTTTGTACTTCGTGGAGTTGTTACTCGAGAAAATATCTCGGTCGAACTGTGAGATATTTGGCAATAATGACAACGAACTAGATGACGATAGATAAACATCGAAAGTTTTGCGATGTTTGAGGAATTAGTTTGTTAAATTACTGAGAGCACTGAAGCTTATTGAGGCCAATTCGTAAATAGATTTAACATTTATAGGTTTAATACTTAGTTATGTCAAACTTATAACCTATTTAATGTACTAATTCAGACATAAAATTATAAAGAGTGATAAAAAAAAGTGACTTGATAAAATACGTATGAATAATGCAAATACTAACAATTTCAGCGTTTCAATAGCAATCACCAATTAATTAATTAAGTTGATACATACGTTGAACAGGAGTTGGAATACCACACTATAGGGATTATTTTTTGTTTATTTATTTCCGCCTCGTTTCTGTTAAGTCAGTATACTGCGTATTTTAAAGACTCTGTATTGTGTCGTAATGTGTGATACATTCTGAGAGGATCTTTAGTATTCTATCAAATACGGCTAAAATGATGTAGTAATTCATAATCATCAACAGCCTTCTAGAGTCCACTGCTGGACATAGGCCTCTTCTTAGAAAAGAGGTTTTGGTCTACTACACCACGCTGGCCACACGGATTGGTATAGGGTTGGATTCACGTTTTCCTTCTCTTTGTAGTGCTATTGTACGTGTAGTTTGCTCCCATAGTCGGCTCTTTCGACACCCGAGGGATGAATAGGCGTGTTATTCTTAACCTGTTGCCACTCAAATTCTGAGAGTAAGTAATAATAATAATAAACACATAAAATTTGACTTTGAATGTTATTTATTCTTAGGCCTATCATAAACGTGTTATAAAAACGAAAGCATACTAATTTAGCAAAACCAACATTATTTTTGACGTTACGTAATTCATTACAACAAAATTCAATATCTCTTATTGTTTTAATCATTGCAGATACTGTGTCACATACAGTAGTATACAGTTGTATACCTATAGTCATCAAAGTAAGTATAAACTTATTTTAAATTAAATCAATTCGATATAAACGGAGTTGATATTATTTAAAGAAAACGAGTACGTTATCAGTATTTTAAAGTATTAAGAATCCCTTTGAACAGAATATGAAATTTTCGTTTTTATTTACAAGCCTTCACTCGACGATGAGTTCTTAATAAAATTTCATACATTCTACAAGTACTAGTTCTACTGCATATATTAGGTTTTGTATAAAATATTTAGAATGAAAAACAGTGTTTTTAATATAGATAATTAAAACAATAGGGCTCAAATAGTATATCTAACAAGCAAGATTTGAATGAACCTATTAGAAAACCCTTTCTATAATTGTAATTAGTAGTAATCACACTGATATAGAATAGACGAAAGTGACGTGATTTTTTAATCATTGCACAGAAGACAGATTTTCTATTAATCTTCAAATATACCTGTATCTTAACTAACTTTCAGTTTAGTTTTTAACTATTAAGGACCATTAAAAATGTTAAATCTTTCTTTTTGTATAATGTTGCATAATAAACGTCTAATTATAGTATGATTATAATTGAATTAAGTGGACTTTTGCATTAATACGAATTAACAAGTTGTATTTGGAACTTAGGCAAAAACTTCCAGCTGTACCAAATTGAAGGAGTCTATCATAAACAAAACATTAACTATTTCTTTAAATAATAGGTACATCAAGTTTATGTTTAGTTATGTTTTATAAACCTGTGTTATGACTAGCACATTTTCTTATGTTGGAAATGGTATCTTTAAAAGACACCTTTGAAAAGTTTCATGAAAAAATTCTGAACTTAAGCGATTTGCAATGGTACATACATAAAATATCTATAGTGTAACAAATGGCTAACTGTAGTTATTATAAATACGTGTATATTTGTTTCGTTTAAATAGGATATTCTTTTAAACGTTTGTTAAATAACTAAATTTATTTATTTCTTTATTTATACTTCTTGCAAATACATTGCTTAAGGCGGACTTAATTTCATAGACATTTTCATTCCCGCAAACTGCAGCCCTGTCTTATAGGTAACCATGACATGATCACACTTTCGCAAGTTGAAAATAAACCGAATACAATAGTTGAGAAGTCGGTCTAACTTATTGAGCAGATCTGCATTCAGGTCAAGATAACATACATCACAATAGTCGAGGATTGGGAAACTTAAAGTCTGCGCCAACATTGTTTTCACTGAACTTTCACTTGAAACGGTAAGATATGTAAACACGTCGATTCCAGTATATATGACAGTTCACGACAACGAGGGAAGTATGCAGACAGGAGATTAGAATTGAAGTCGCCCATGATGATATGATGCTTATACACAGAGTCTAAAGATTGTAAAATTGATTCTAATTACTTTAATAATTTACTGGATTGAATATAAGTATGCTTCCAATTGCGTCAGTAAATTCCTTCTCAAATCTTTCTACAAAGTTTAAAAACAATTTAGTTGAGCGGACACTGGTCTGTTTCAGTTTTTATGAGTTCGAAATAAAGTTGTCGACTACAGTTTACAGCAGAAAACTCAAAACATAAAAAACGAAGAATTAAAAAACTTTCTCGGATCTGTTGACGTAAAATTCAGTTTTACGACTATCCGCCAGCCTCACTGTTTCGGCACGTACTAGCATCCGAAGTTTGTGCCACCGCAACTGCATTTCTAAGGATCAATAAAAATTGTTTACTTTTTAATCCTAATGCGAACTCGGTTGCTGAGTTGGTCGTAAAATTAAACCATAAATCGAACAAAATAATTTAAAAAAGAAGATAAGCGCTTCCAACTAAGACTTTCAATTATGATCGAGGAATCATACTAAGTGTCTTGGGAATGTCTTCTTAGATAAATTTTAAATAAAAGTCTTCTTTAAATATCGTCGGTTCATTGTTATCCTCTTATTTATACATAATTAAGTTTTAATAGGACGGTATTATTAAATTTCAGACTTAAAGTGCTAACAATTGTACAAAATGTATTTCAAACAAAATCATTGAAGTGACAATTGATTATAATAATTAGCATAATTATATTACATGTTAATGATCAGAAAAAGCAAAGAAAAAAACTCTTTTTATCGGCTACAGATATACTATACGTTCCCAAAATATTAGCTCAATTTTTATCTAATTTTATCTGTTTTCCCTTTTTGGCCCTACCTGCCACTGCATGCACTGCGCACTGTCATATAAATTTTGTGCTACGTTGGGTTTTGTTGCTAATTTTTGTGCTACAGCGTATATCATAGCAATTCTAGTAGAACCGCAAAAAAAAAAGTTTCTCATAAATATTTGTAAGTTATGTCAGTAGAAGTTGACTTAAGTAAATAACACACAATACAGTGGTTCAAAGCTTTGTGTAAAAATCTACAAACTGTAACAACTTCAATAACTTCGTCACATTACGCAAGCACTACACTTCTACTAACATTTTTTTTATGTTAGAGGGGACAGACGAGCAGAAGGGTCACCTGATGGAAAGTGACCATCGCCGCCCATGAACGTCTGCAACTCAGAAGTCACAAACGCGTTGCCGGCCTTTTAGGAAGGAGTACTATACATTAGTACATTATTAGTATATTATAATATTTTAAGTTTCTTAGGTAATTTTACCTGTAAATGTTGTTTAAAAACGTAATTTAGTAATTATATTTTTTTTTACATTTTGTTTAGTAATTTAAACAGTGTTGCGTAATAAGTGTTTTGATTTTAAAATAATATCTACTCCGAGAATAAAAAAATAGAGATCATTGAGCGTGTATCATATTGTGTCTATATTTTTTCTTGTCGTTGTTTGGAACGAACCATGTTGAGTCTCCTCATATAAACACAAAAAATACTTAAAGGCACAAAAGCGTTAGTACGAAATACCTTATAAATAGTTTGTTTTCAACATTTATGACTCAAATCAAAGACAATCTAATGTTATTCTTAGTATGTTTTATTTAAAATTTGAAAACTCAGTCACTGCGACCAATTCGCTTCGCTAAAATTGAACCTATACAAGAATTTAAACGTTTACTGTGAAGATGGTATAAAAGAGTAAATCTTTTTTTGCTTTTGTATGACATAATAATAATACTAATAACAGCCGAACCTTTCCACCATGGTTTCACACGACAAAATTTTCATCGCCATCTCTTGTATCATTTGTACTCCACCGATGTGCGCTCCGATCTCAAAGGCCGCCAACACGCTCGTGACTCCTAAGTTGCAGGCGTTCATGGGTAACGGTAGTCACTGTCCATCAGGTGTAGGTCTACTCGTTTGCCCCCTTTGTCATAAAAAAATACATTTATGAGTATAAGTCATTATTAGTATTAAATATTATATTTCTTTAATTATCAACATACAAACCTTTAGAGGTTTAGATAAATGTACATTACTACTTACTTTATGCATTTTTGGTTTACGGGGGTCAGTACCGACATCGACGACGAAAACTTTGGCAGACTTCAAAGCGGGCAGTATGAGGAGGTTTCTCTTCAAGGTAGGGTCATCGTGGCAACTAGAGCAGACATTCCAACCACTGTGATGGAGCTCGTCTCCAACGCTGCCAGTATAAGTTCGGTGGATCACCTGTCACCGAGAGAGAGTAGAAAGATAGAAACTGTTAATGGCTCTTAGAATAAAGTACTTACTTATTATCGATGGTATGGTTATTTTCAAGATGTACCGTATACTATTAAGGCTGAATTAACGCTAGAAGCGAAATGAATCGGTAGTTGGCCGTGGTATCAGCCGTGGTATAGCCCTCCCAAGGTAAAAAACTTCATGCAAACGATGATTCGTAAATACTTTTTTTTAAATAGTTGAACCGACTTGAAGCAATACTAACAACAAAGAGAACTAAAAAACCTAGCAGCATCGCCCCTGTAATTTTTTGATGAGTTCCGTTGTTTATCTTCGAAACTCATCATCAGATCTATGTCAAATTTAAATAGGACCATTTCAAATAAACACCTTTCGAATAAAAAAAAATTTTGAAAAACCGTCTAAATATGACGGAGTTGTGCCCGAACATACATAAAAGAAAACATCCGAATTTAACCTCCTCCTTTTTTAAGGCGGTTAAAAATACCTTTTTTAATTAATTATTCCTATAGAAGAATCTCAAAATGTATTGAGTTTTAGACTTTCTGAATCAAATTAAATTCTGTAATCCGCGCAAGAAATCTTTGCAGCGATATATTGCATTCCGCTTGTTAATTTACTTCCAGCTTGTATTGCAATAGCAAAGTACACAGTAATACTGCCTGTTGGAATCCTGAAATCCTGCAGGATTACCGGTACGTTATTGCCTTGCTACGCCATCCCCGGACTAAATAGCACAATTTAACGTTTTGTTTACTATATAAAGTAGTCAGTAATTGCGTATTTTCCTGTTGGACGAATATTATCTTTCTGGGAAATCTTGCCGGTGCGACAGCTTCAAACTGTAATTACTTTCTTAAAGTAATGATAAAGATTGTCATTTTGTAGTCAGGTATTGACAAAATAATCATTTTGAAAATAAAGTTTTTCTTCAGGCAAATGTTATAATATATTTTAAACAATTTAAAAAGTTACACATACAAGATAAATGCTGATCTTATCTTATCACACCAAATTGATACCAGTACACGTATAAACAAATATTAAAAATTGACATTAAGTATTGAAGATTCAAAATAAACCAGCTACAAGAGACGCAGACTATTACAGATACTTAAAAGATATCAAACTCAGCCGTTCTATTTTAAAATGGCATTTATATTTATTTAAATAGGTGACTATAAACAAATCAAGCACCTGTTCAGGGCCTGTGTGCGTTTAAAAACTCGAACACACTCACGTACGTATGACATTAGATGAAGAGTTCCAGTTACTCTTTACTAAACTCAAAGTCAAAAGTCGGTATAATGATCCAATTACCTCAGCTCGTAACAATACTACTGCTTTTCGATTTAAAGTCACCTACTTAACTCGAATTCTCAACGTTTGAAAGGGTCACAAAAATAAAGAATTAGATTAACTTAAAATTTGTCTACTCGCAATTCGGGAAAACAAAGAAAGGTACGTAGGAAAACGTTTCAATTTATGCTACAAAAACAGAAAAGAATGTTGTGTTAAAGATTTTTTTATTAACCTACCTGACTATAAGTTGAAGATTTAGGGTTCACGTCTACAGTAGCTAAATAGTCTTGCTTAGTGTTATCCGGCTGGACACAGATTACGTAAAGTAACTCCTCCCGAGGGCCATTCTTGAAGGCGTCCAAAGGCGACGCGTAGCCCGGGCCTTTGCTCTTACCTGCAAATAGAGAGAAATGTCTTATTAGTTTCTTGAAGACAAACTAAGTAATAGGGTGTAAATACTATTGTTATCCAATTTACGTGCAACACACACAATGTGAAAGTGAAATCATAATTTATTTTCATTTTTAAATAATCAAAATAAAATAAATATGATGAAATGTCTGACGATATTCGATATTCTTATTTTTATTCGCTATTAAAGCGAGTTTTTCTAGCTTTCTAAAAGTATCAATTTCTAATACATTTTTAAAACTTACAATAAGCACAACTTTGTTTGAGACTAAATACAAGTAATTAAAGATGAAAATGTCTCTCTTTTCCTAGAAGTTTATCAAGTTTGAATTTTACAACTTTATTTCACAATTTTATAATCTATAGTTGATAAGGTCGTTGATCACCTTTTGATGGTTATTATGTTATTACATCATAATAATCAATGAAAAAATTCTTAGTACACTCAAATTTTAATTATTGTTTAAAACCACAAGCTTCTTATTCAAAAAAAATCTCCAAAAAGCGAAATAAGCTTATTTCGCTATTTGTAACGCTAACAAGTAATCATAAAAACCAATTCTATGATTTCCTCTTTAAATTTATTTTGGGGTGCTCAGTTTTTTCGGATTTCCTTTTAGAAAAAGAAACTGTCACTTTTAATAAATCGTCGATAGGAATCAAAACGTTATTTTTCCCGTGCGTAAACGAGGGTAGCGGACAAACTGGGGGACCCCAACCCTCGCAATTTGGGTAATCACGTCAGGTAATGCTTGCATATAAATTACTTCTTTGTCCCTGTAATCTCATCAATAATCTATTGTTCTTGTTTACTATACTAGTCATACGTCAGGCAAATACGTCAAAAAATCATCATTTGATTTAAACCTTGAATTAAATGCAAATTAATATATTTAAAATTATTATTAAAGGTTGACTCTTAGAGAACACTTTTTATATACTTTTATATACATGCGAAAATTCAGTAGATATAGATATTCTACACACAGTACATCTGACAAATATCGATGGGGCTAAATTGAAGCCCCAATAACTTTGATAGAATAATGGCTATAGCGATGTCTCGCCTAAATTACGATGTGTCAGGTACCAGGGCGATTTGGTTCTGACAGCTGGATATTTGAGTACTGCCATTCAAAATTTAATAAATATTTATAAAAGATTGTGTAAAATAAACTTAAAACTTAATCGTGCCAATCGTGGTCGTATAGTTTTGGAGTTTAGAAGATACTCCGGTAGTATCTTCGCTCTCAGAATAGTTAATATTGCACAAAGTTAAAATAGCCCAAGGCTTAAATATTGAACAATTAAAGCATTTTGTAATCTTTATCAACTATTTCAGATTTTTTAAATTTTTGTGACCTTCTATTTCCTTTAAATGAAAGTATTTGCAGTCCTAAGTTTTTGTGAGCAAAGTAATGTGAGCATTCATTTCCATCGTGAAAAAACCAGCTTTGGTAACTCCTACGGGTCTTCAGCATCAATTTTTTTTACTTAAATGAATTTATCCCACAAACTGACACCTCAGGTAAAGATATTGATTCTATGTGAAGAAGAGAGCTATCTTCGCCAGTGTATAATGCTAGTCGTGTTTTACATAATTCTGAAATTAAGTATCCCGATATCGAGAAAGATCTTTTAAAATACAAACCAATCATCGATCCATTGAGTAGGTTATTGAAATTTGAACTCCGATCAGAAGAATATCATAAAAAATATGAATAAATTAAAAAAATTATCAAGTGTTATAACAAGTGGTCCAGTGGGGCATGAATTTATGTAGTTAATAACATTGAATTATCAGGTAATTTAGCCGATATTAAACAACTTCAACTTATAACACAGGTGGCCTCATAGGCAGATGACGAAAATAATTGTATTTAATTGTTATATTTCTTAATTTGAAATAATTAAAAAAGAAATAAACACATGTTTGACCTTTGTAAATATTTTCTCCAATGATCCGGGAGCTATAATTAAGTCATAAAATATCTTGCTCGTGGCTTGATTGGATTTAGGTTGGGAAACTGAACTTGCTATCCCTAGTGGGAAGAAATTGCGTTGAGTTAATAAGCAGCTGGTATAAGTAAACTACACAGAAATTTTATTTACAAATATACGTTAAAGCTTTGATATTATTGTTTTAACTTTGATGGATGTTGATTTTGACAGTCTTGTTGAAACGAAATATTATATTAACTTTATCACTGTTTACTTTTCTTAAATCAATATTTATTTTGTGCAAATCCGATTATTAAAACAATCTCGGCACCTAAATCTTAAACCATTTAAGATTAAATTGAACATAAATTGAGACAGGTACTTCATCTCCACTCATTTCCGTAGCTTTGACAGGGCCTGTTAAATCCAATGCCGCGTTTAAGATTAAAAAAACTTCTTGAATCTTTCTATGACAAAAAGATTCTTTATCTAAACAGTGAGATTAAAATCACTAGGGTTCGTTTGAGGAAGCTCGTTTAAGGCTCTTTGAGGCCGTGCCTCGAGGCAGGAATGATAAATTGCAACCCGCTTGATGTGTCTGACACTTTTTTCATACCGTGACCTTTCTGGTCTTTTATTTCTCTTATCGTGTGACACGAACGAATAAGTTTGTTAAAAAGCTGACAAATAGCAATAGAGAACCAACCGCGCGGAATTAGGGTTACGGTAAACAGATTGCGGCCAAAAAAAGGAAAGTAATAAATATGCTTATACAATCATATAATTTTTAAATCTTTTTCCTCAGGTACAGTAAAAATAGACGAATAATAATATGATGGTCATTATGAATATAAAAAATAAATATTGTAGTGACAAAAAATGTAATGTAAATTAATTTTAATTTTAAATACTTTTACTTTTTAAGTAATTAATTTTATTTATCCATATTTATTTATTTAACAAAACTTTATGCACAAAAATGGCAAAGGCGGACTTAATGCAGTAGGCATTTTCTACCAGTCGACCTTAGGGCGATGCAGAGCCAAACGTGGTAGATGCAGAAATTAAAATGTAATTTATTACTATAGCATATACAGAATATCATATTACCAGAGTACTTATATAAATAACATTGGAATAGTTTTTAATGATAAATACAATAAGTAATCGTGATACTAATACACATAATACATAAGTATATATATACACATATACATTTATATACTTAAATACACATACTAGAAGTTCTAGACGGAGAGAGTATAAAATTAAGGTAGATCTGATAAAACGTTTAAAGGACTTAAGGATAAGGTGTTTAAAGTGTTTAAAGGACAGTGAACAAGTAGGTATGAAGATCTAAGGTTTTTAACGCTGTTTGCACGTAAATATTGAATTTGAGTGAGGTAGGAAGAAGAACCAATTCGGAGACACATTATCATATTTGCGTAAATTGAAAACAAATCGAATGCAATTATTGAGAAGACGGTCAAGCTTATTAAGCAGATCTGTATTCAAGTCAAAGTAGCACATATCACCATAGTCGATTATAGGGAATATTAGAGACTGAACAAGCATTTCATTAGTTTTCGATGGAAGAAAGTTTTTAAACAGGACCTATAGAGGGCCCGCAGCGAACCTATCACTTTCTGGCACACAGATGCAACTTGTTTTCGCCAGCTCAGAGTTGTGTCAATATACAATCCTAGGTCTTTTACACTTTCAAAGTATGGAATAACCACGCCGTCGTAGGTAAGTGATGGAAATGAGGCAAGGTCGAGCTGTCTCATACCACGGTTACTCCCCATAATAATAGTCTGTTATTTTTGCGGATTGACCGATACGCCACACATATCAGACCAGTGTTTAATGGCTGCCAGGTCACTATTTACAACCGAAACCGTTTACGATATATTGCACAACTCTGTTTGGTAGTATAGATGCAAGTCATCAGCGTAGAGATGAAAGGAACACTGAAGTCTTAGGGTGATAAGGTTAATGAAGATGGAAAACAGAAGATGTGAAAGATCACCTTGAGAGACGCCAGCAGCAAGATCACACCAGCTAGAGGAAGAATCTTCGAAACTGACTGACTGCTGACGATCCCGAAGATAAGAGAAAAACCAGCCCAGTGCGTCTTGAGAGACCGAGAACACCACTCTAGTTCCCTTTCCAATCGTTCCGGATAAGAATAAAGCCAGGCAAGAAGTAAGAGGTGGAGAGAATATGCGGTTTTAATATTGGCATCTCAAAATGCCTCATACAAGTCAGCTTATTGGCTAGGAACACTTTGGGCATTTAGATGGCACACATTAAATAGTTGGTTGATTTTTTACTACTAACTTTGTTGATTCTTTTACGGAAGCTATCATCACTAAAAGAGGTTTCAGATTCATACGCAAAAACATAATATTCATTATCTGAAGACATAAGTACGAATAAACTATAAATATGTATAAATAATACAAATATAAATATAGTAAAAAAAATATATCTATTAATTAATTACGTGCAGATGTTCTGGTACAGCGCATGTACCTCTGTACCACCCGTCAGCTTACATCACTAAAAAAAGTTTGAACAGAAAACCAAAAATTAAAAATACACTTCGTACAGTGTGAAGAGAACATAGGTGTTTTATACAGACTAGTATTCACCCTTAATGTAAAACATTATATGACTCGGTATACAACCGAAATGAGATGATGATTAAATATTTAATCTATGCTACTCTTTAGTAAAACACCTAAAACTTCATGTCGGAATAACCAAAAAATGCATATAACAATAAGAAAATAAAGTTTAGAAAACTACACAAATAAAAACAATTGAAAGATATGTAGGTATGCGAAGGGCCTAAGGGTCTTGTTTAAATTAAGGAATAATTATAAGTATATGGTAAATATTACTATTAAGTGAATGCTAAATGTCACTGCCGAATATCTCCTGCAGGTTTTGAGGGCTTCGAGGAAGTCGTTTGTGCCTTCATATATTTCATGAGCAGCGGGTTCAGCTCGTCGATGGTCGTAATCTTGTGCCGGAGTC